TGTCTCTATTATGAGCACCTCACAGACTTTGGATTTCACTCTCAGCTGAGACAAACTGAACAGCCTTCTGTTTGTTCATGTGTACAGGTAGATGCCATCAGTTTCAGTTGAATCCCCAAATACATGTTTCAGCATGATTGTGAAGATGCCGAATAAGGTAGCTGCAAACACACAACCCTGCTTCACACTGATGCAGATACTGAAAGCCCCTGAATAAGAGTCACCAATTTGTACGACTCCCTTCATACTAGCATGAAACAACTGGACAATTTTGAGGAGTCTCTGAGGACAACTGATCTTGTTGAGTATCTTGAACAAAGCCATCCCTGCTTTTGTGAAGTTGATGAAGGCAATGAACAATATTTGTCTCTGGTCTTGGCATTTCTTCTGTAGTTGTTGGAAGAAGATCATGTCAATCATGGAATGCTCTGACTTGAAACCGTACTGGGATTTGGGATATACTCTTTCAGTGGGAAAAGACCTTCCCGATGATGTACAGCAGAGAGATTCCACTGTAACTGTTGCAATCACTTCAGTCCCTCTTATTCTTATAGAGTGTGACTATATAGCAGTCTCTTATATCTTGCGACACCATTCCTTCCACTCAGCATTGACACAGTAGACTCACCATATGGTCAACACCCTTTGTGCATTTGATGGCCTCTGGTAGAATGTCATCCAGTCTTGATATCTTTCTTGTGGGTAACTTGTCAATGGCTTTGCTCAGCTTCCCAGCAGTCGGCATTGTGTCCAGTCCCTCCAAGGCTGATAGATGACCTACAGTGCATATCATTCAAGATACTGCTTTCCTTAAAGTAAAGTTCCAAGTAGTGTTCCACCCATCTCTTCATTTGTTTGCTGTGTCCTTGATAAGCTCACTGACTCAAGATTTCAACGGCGCTGTCTTGCATTTGCTTGGGCCAATTATGTACTTTATCATACATCCTGCGAAATTCACCGGTCTCAAATGATAACTGTATGGCTGCTCTCCTGCAATTTTGCTCGAGTAGGTTGGTGTTTGTGTTCCAATAGTGCAATATACTTCTTCTTGATGGCCATGTTGAGCTCATTTGCACTTGTTTCAAACCAGCCCAGTGTCTTGATGCATTTCCTCCTGAAAGTGTTCAGTGCAGTGCTGTGGATGCTGTCCTTTAGAGCATCTCTGTTGGACACTTCCTCTAAGTGAGTTTGCAAGGACGGTGTCCTTTAGAGACTCAATAAATATCGCTGATTTGGTTGAGTTCTGGATTGTGGTGGCATTGATATGCCTGGAGGTTTGGCGTAATGCATCCTCTTTGGTTGGAGTCTGAGTTTGCAACAAACAAGTGAGTGATCCATGTCATAGTCAACACTCTAAAAGGGGCTGTGTGTGTGTCATGAGCATGTTTCTCAGATACCTGCATCTCAAGAGGATCAAATTAAATTTAAATCCTATTTGGCAGCTAAAAGATGTTTTTCTCTTTTATAAATGTTTAAGATTTTGGACATTCAGTGCAATAAACATTAAAAACTATAGTGATTAGTAATCTTTTAAGCTATAAAATCATCAATTATTACTGGGCTATTCTTTTGTGACTCAATATTTTTACTGACTTAAAAACACCCAAACAAAATCTTTTTCTAGATGTATGTTAAACATCTGCATTTCATCTAAATTTTTTACTTTTAGAATGGAAAGTATAAAACCCAATAAAGTTATAATTATATATCATTTTATCAATTCATTGGTTTGTTAATAAATTTCTCTGAAAGTGTAATTAGAAAAATCAACTGAATCTAAGTGGACATAAAATTGATCTAAATAATTCAATATCAATTTTAAATTTTTTAAAATTTGAAAGATTTTCTCCTCCAATTTTGTTATTCCAGAAATGCAATAAAAACAACAAAAATGAATGGAAACTTTGAATAGCAATATTAAAACCTGCATTGCTAAATTCAGAATTAATAAATACTGACTGAATAAATTAAATCTTCATAGACTAATAAAAACAAAACACTTTCAAAGTAATATTAAGATTAAATTTTATGTTAATATTTTTGTTTCTTAGAAACAATAACAAGATTACAATTTAAAGGAAAATGAGTAGAATGACTAGCATTTAGTTATGCATTTGTTTGTCATGTTAGTTTTAAACAATAAAAAAGAAAATAAGAAATTATTTGACAATCCTCTAGCAAATCAGGAGATCATAATAAAAAAAAAGCTAAAGAACAGTACATTATAAACTCTCCATTAAAATTTTGTTTTTAGGGATGATGGATACAATGAGTTTTCATTCATACAAGAATTTCATTGTTTTTGTAGAAGCAAAGTCAAGGAATTTTTTAAAAATTGACCAAAGAGAAAGTGGGGATAATTGAATTTTTAAAAACAAAATATGTAGCAAATGTTCAAGGAATAAAGAAGTTACCATGTTTGTATGGTTATATTTAATTGACAAGGAGAGAAAAGAACTTACATTTCAAAATGCATGCACCCAAAATGTTGAAAAACCTATAATTTCATAGGCTGGCATATGATGACATTTTATATAGAGAGAGATCAAAAAACTTCTTCTGAAAGCATTTTTTTTTTTTTTTTTTACACAATAGTCTCTGATTTCATAGAGAGGAAAAAAAACACTGAACTTCTATATATCTCTTAAAGACAAAAATAAGTAAATTAAAGAATTTATTGAACAAGCTTAGAATTGGAATAAAATTACAAAAATATTTTCCAGGATTTATTCACTTCAGGTTAATATCAATATAATTTGTTTTATTATTTTAAAGACTAAGAAATTTTACTGTCACTTGTATAAACCTTTATATACAGAAGGACAGTTTTTCAATCTGATATGCAAAATTATCACAAGAAGATTGTTTGGAGAAAAACAAAAGGATCTTCTGACATAACTTTCACAATGTTAATTTATTTGCATACTTTTCTTAATTTATTTGCATACATTTTTTTTTTGTAGTGGAGAGATCCAGTTTCTCTTCTTTCATTTTTTACCTCAGATTTTCACTTAAGTGTCTCAACAAACTTTTGAGCAATATATTTACAAGTAAAAATACTTTTCGATCAGAGTTCTGAGTAATTCTGTAAATTTTAAAAGTGTATATCCAAATGATATTAATCCATAACAAATTAATTTCTTACTTGTCAAATCAATATAAATAAAAAGAGCAAAAAATTATGAATGTACTTTAAAAGATAAAAAAATAATTTTTTATTTTCATAGGTGTCATATATCTGAATATATTTAACAGTCATACAATCATATAGAGAAGTCATGGGGTGACTATTTCATTTCAATGGGCATTGTATTCTCTAAAATTAAAGCAAATTATGCCAATTAAAACAACTGAGAAATACAGGAAAAATCTGAATCTTGTTAAGTAAGTTTTATAAATTAATCTAAAAGTAGATCATTTTAAGAGTGCAGACCAAACATTATTTCTGAGGAATTATTCCCTTGGTTAATCTCAAGTAAAAGTAACCGTTGACAAAATTCATTTTAATTGATTGTTTGTAGAGAATCTGAATAGAAATGTAAAGCAACAAATCAATTAAAATGGAGAAATTTTAAAACTGTATGAGAATTACCTAAGCAGAAAAATGTTAAACAGACATAAGCAGTTTTTGTGACAAGGAATAAATCTAGATTTGAGAAAACTGAATAGAGAGAGAGAGAGCGGATCTAAAAGTATTTGTTTGAATTTATTGCAATGAATCAAAGAATAAATTTAGGCCTTCAAATAAAAGATAGATAAAAAAGACAAGACAGAGAGACAAACATTTACACAAGAGGAAGGCAGGTATTAGGCAGAAAATTTTAGCAAAAAAGATTTTCCTTTTAATGGGGGCTAAATAGTAGCATAGGATATAGTTGGATGAGAGGTTAGCTTATATAAGGCATCAAATCAAGCTTTCTGCACAAATAAAAAGGGATTTTAAAGGATTTTAAATTAATTTTTGAGAGATTCAAAACTCATCTTAAAGAAATAACAATGTATTCAAATATATTTTATGTTTTTATACTTTTTGTTTCCATATTTTATTTAGAATGCAAGTGGAATTTAATATTTTCCAGGAAGAAGCAAATTTGTATTTATTTTTTAAATTGTTCCTGATATAATCAAGAATACTGATTCAAATGAAGACAAAAATTGTAAGATTTCAGCTCCAAATTCCAGAAGATATTCATATATGACCAATTGGTTTTTCTCTACTGATATTCAAGATCAATTTTCTTCTAATTCATTCTTTTGTTTTCTCCTCTCAAAAGAATTTTAGTAAGATAAGGTTTCCTCTTTAAGAAAAAAAATCTTCAATATAAATATCATTAAGTAAATTCTAAAACTTTAAATGTGCCTGAAGCTGATGGTGTGTGTGTGTGTGTACACCTTGTGAGAAGAGCAATGATGATGGTAATAATAATAATAATAATAATAGCATCTAAATGAAGCATTGTCAACAATTATTCATTTTTTCTTTTGTCTTAATTTAATAATGGTTAAGCAATGATGGTGGTGGCAATTTATACAATGATGACAATGTGATAGACCAATAAGAAAATTCTTTCAAAAGATTTATCATGTATATTGCTGTCTGCATCATGCATAAGTGCCTGACAAGAAAAGATTTCAAGATGAATTTAGGTAATGTGCTTTACATTCAAGTCAAAAAAATATTTTGTAATATTTTGGGTGCACATATATGTCTACATTTGATGGCAGAGTTGAAAGAATTAGGTCATTATCTACACCAATAAAGCAATTTTTAATATTCAAGTTTGGTCTGAGCACTTTTTTTTGTCAAGCTACTATTTCTTATGAATGGAAAATGACAGAAGTGTCGCAGACACAAGCTATCACAAAATTTAACTTTAGCTGTGGCCATCATTGATGATGTAACCATCATCCTCCTCCTCCTCCTCCTCCTCCTCCTCCTCCAAGGACAAGTAATTCTCCTCTCACAGTAACTAGCATTAAAATGTAGATACAAACTGCTTTCAAAGAGAAAGGGGTGGGGGAAGAGAACAAATAAAGAGAAAAACAACAAAGAATGAAACTGAGAAAACAAATGGGGGAATAGAATTTGGGAGACAAGATCTTACAAAATAAAAATAATTAAAAATAGATGACTTGTTTCAAGTTTCCTGCTGCTCCTGTTGTTCACGTAGCATCCTACGTCGTGCAGCTTGATATGCCAACTCTCTCATGTGGGTTGAGTTGCGATCTGAACTCATTCGTTGATTATCACTGTCCATCAAATCAAGATTCCTTGAATTGGTGTCTGCTGAATTGCTAGCATTAGCATCTCTTTGGATGTACAAAAAACGCCTGTATACAGAAGACAGCAGAGAATGAATAGAAGAAATATTTCAGATCTTTTAGAAAAATACTAACAAGTATGGAAAGTAGTTTCTCGTCTAAAATGTGTCTACTTTAATGTTACTCATATGATAAGGTGGAGAAAATGAGCTCATTAAGCAAAAATATCAAAACAGAACAGCTTGGAGACTTTTCAAGTTACAAGGTGAGTTTTTCATATCAATTCATCCTGATCTTCAATTTTACATTCTTATTTATAAAGATTCATTAAAAAATCCAATTGCCTTGTAATAATAAATATTTGATTAAAAATCATTATAAACTGAAGTAGAAACAAGTTTTTTATTTTAGTATTTACCTTCGTGCATTTTCCATCATGGTGTTTTTTCTCTGTTGCAACATCATTTCTCTTTCAGAAGCTGATTTAGAAAAGCGTCCACCTGTGCTGGTAATGGCAGGATAATCATAATTCCTGCAATAAACAGAAAATTTTTTTTATTGTAAACAATAAGCTACTTTTCCAAACAGATTATTACACCATTGTATTTATCTGTCCTTTTAAAGCTAAAATTCTTTTTCACAACCAGCATGAAGAATATCTAAACAATTGTTTACTGCTGTTTCTATTAAAATAAGCCAATAGAACAAAACTTCTTTAAAGCAATGTTAGTTGAAAAGTTACACACAAAAACAGTACTTTATCTTTTATTTTAGTAAATTGGATATAAAATGCCAACATCTAAATAAGTGATTTAAAAAAAAAAACAAAGAAAAAAAACAAAACACTTACCACAAAATTTTAAATTATGAGTGGTTAGTGAAAAGTTCTCAACTCAACCCACTTCCCAAAATCTGACCAAATGACCAAGCGTCAGATTTTTCTATTGAAAGGGATTCTTGTTAGAGTAGAGAACTTTCAACCCCTCGTTATATATAAGATTCTATACAATGATGAAAACTGATATACCGATTACATAAATATATAACAGACATGAAATATCTTTGGACTGTTTTCAATGAAATTTAAAAAAAAAATTGTCATTGATACATAAAGTTTAGAGGTATTCAAACATAATAGCTGTATGTAGGTTTGAGATGCTTTTTAAAATAACTCATTACGTATGTTTCCTTTTGTTGGTAATCATACTTTGATGTTTAACGAATTCTTGGGGTGTTGGTACAACAAAAGTATCATACAGTATTTGCATAGGTTCTTCATTTCTTGTGGGTCTTCTTCAGAAAACCTTTTCTTTAAGTGATTCTAATGCCTTTTGTGTTCCCATTTCCTTTTACCAATATATATATATATATATATATATATAGATATATTTTTCCAATTTGTGACCTTATTACACTGTCGTCTTCCCACATTTCTTTTCCATTTTTATACACTTGGAAAAACACATTTTCACGAATTTTGAAAAATTTTGTCTTTTTTATTTTCCATTCTTATTCTTTTTTACCTGGTAACAACTTATTAAATACCAATTTAATTTTTCTTGCAAACATCAATTCTGCTAGCAACAGTCTATTGGGAATCAGCATTAATGGGTATACTTTAAGGAATTTATTTTTAGTGCTTCTTTACTCACTTTTTCATTACTTCTTTTTTTTTGAATCTCTCCTAAAACCATTCAGCTTGTCCATTTGACCGTGGGTGATATGGTGGTGTAATAATATGTTCAATTGAGAACATTTTACAAAAATCTTTAAATTTGTAAGCAGTGAAGTAACCATGGAAGTTGTTTTTTTGCATTTACAAATTTCAGGCCACTTAGTAAAGCTATCCACTATCATGTGATCCATTTATTGGACCTGCAAAATCTATCTGCAGTCTTGACAAAAGTATCTGTCTTTGGCCAAGTTTGTATTTTCATAGTAGGTGATTTTGCTGTCAGATCACAACCCCTGCAAGCTTTTACTAATTTTTCGATGTCTTGATCCATTTTGGTCCAGAAAACATCTTCTCATAAGAGATTTCATCCTTGAAATTTCTGGATGTCCACTTTTAATATATGCTAGGTATTACTACTCTTTCTGCAAATATCAGTACTCTGTAAACATTCAAGTCTGGATCTTTTAGTTGTTTTTTTTTATTTTCAAAATAAACATCTCACGTTCTGTTTTTACTTTTATTTCTTTTAGCTTGCGTACTATATTGCATAATATATTTTTAATTTTTATTTCATTTTTTAATGCTGCAATAACAGTGTCCCCAAATGGTTTAGTATTTTTGGTATCAATTTTAATAAACCATCAGTATGTCCTAAGTTTTTGGATAACCATCCTGAAATTGTAATAAGATGGTGCCCCAGCATTGTAATCTATTTGCTGTATGCACAAGAATTCCTTTTTTTGAACCATTAAGTTGATAATAGAAGTCAATGGCCTGTCTTCAAACAAAAACTCCTTCAGTGTATAAATTTTTTCATTGCAAATATTATTGCTAATGCCTCTTTTTCAATCAGGCTGTAGTGTTTTTCTGCTGGTAGTAGTGAACGTGAAGCATGTACAACAGCTTTCATGTTACTGTCAGCATATTTATGTAAAATTACCACCTCTATACCATAGTCACTAGCATTTGAAGCCAATACAATTTCTGGTTTTGGATTGTAGTGTGATAATGATAAGTATGATGTTAATATTTTCTGGATTTCTTCTCTGACACTTATTAGTCCAATTCCACTTTATGCCTTTTTTTTTTTAAAGCAAAATGTTCAGTGCAGCTCTTAAATTCTGCATATTAGGTATATAAATTTGATAATAGTATGATAGTCCCAGAAATGCTCGTAACCTAGTAATGTTTGTTGGAAGAGGCATATTCTTAATTGCACTTGCACTCAATGGATCTGGTTGTTGACCATTTTTGTCAATGATTTGTCCTAGGTATTTGATCTTAAACAAAAACAATTCGTACTTTTCCTCACTGAGTTTGAACCCATAATGACATATTTTTTCAAAAAACTTTTTACATACCGAAAATGTTGTTCCTTACATATACTTTTAATTAATATATCATCCAGATAAGCAACTGCAAAATCTCAGTCTGCAAATATAGTATCCATAGTTTGTTGAAATAGAGCTGGAGCCACTTTTATTCTAAAAGGAAGTCGGTTGAATTTATACAAAATCCCTTGTGTGTATTTATAGTTCATTAACTCTGAACATTCTTCCTCAACCTGTATTTGCAAATATGCTTCAGAAAGATCCAGGTTTGAAAAAAATTTTCCCACCATTTACTTTCAAAAAAAATTTCCTCTGGACTGAGTAGTTATAGGAGTTCTAAACATGTTTAACCCTGTCGAAAAATCATGACAAACATGAACTTTATTATTTTTTTTTCTTTACATACACTGCTGGTGCTGCCCATTTTGAATTGTCAATCTTTTCAATTACATATATTTTTTCAAGTCTGTCTAATTCTTTGTTGACTTGGTCCAACTGCGAATGGTATACTATGTTTCGATTTAAAAACTGGTGTCAACCCTTTTTTCATTTGAAATTTCGCTTTGACTTTGGAACACTGACCCAACTCATCTGATAGAACATCTGGAAAACATTTTTTTAATCCTTCCTTTAAATTTTCACTCTGTTTTTTTTTTAATTGGTCGCATGTCCGCTTACATTTTTATAATAAATCCCACAATTAAAATAATTCCATCCAGTCAGTACTGAATAAGTTTGTAATAATTTTTAACACATAAGCCTTAGCTTTTATACACTTGTTATGGAATGAGATGTTACAAGTTATTTTGCCAATAAAAAATAATTTCTCATCTGACACACGTACAAGTTTCAAAGATCTTTTTAATATAGGTTTTCCATGTGACTTCATTGATTACCAGTGTCTTAGTTGCATTTTTACATCCACATTATTAATTTTCACATACACAAATTTTCTTTGCTTTTCTGCAATTATTTTTTCTGTCACAACTCTGTGTACAAAATATTTTGTGAGAACTTTTCCTTGCTTTAGTTTTACAGAGTGACTTTTTATGTCCTACTTTTTTACACTTGTAGCACTGGATTAACATGGATTAAATTTTCTTTTAGCATATTTTTTAGCTATGAACATTTTTTCCTTCAATTTCTTCAGTATTGCATCTCAGATTTAGGATTCTCTAACATTCATGTGGTATTTCTTCTTGTGTTAGTTATGTCTGTCTTAGGCTACTCGCCATGATGTCTGTTAGAAATTCTCCTGACTGACTCCAACAGACTTCCCTGACTCACTTGGAGTTCTTTATTTCAGTAACTTAGTAACACAAATGAGCTAGGCAAGAACCTAGCTCATTTGTGTTCCTAAGTGTGTGTTATTTACTCCACAACAACTTAAAATACCTGAAAGCCAATTTCAGCAAATATTCTGGATAACAAGAAATGTAAAGTATTTAAAATTTTAATCTACCAATGGAAGACAAAGAGCAAAGTTTAAAAAAAAAAAAAAAAAAATATAAAATTCAAGCCAAAATCTAAGGCCAACCTGCTTGGATGGTTGAAAGTGAGAGAATTTGACTCAGTGGTTGAAGATTCTGCTTGGTTTTGGAACAGCGGTATGCTGTGGTTCCTTTGAGAAGGGGAAGAGGAGGAAAGATCAGCTCCAGGACTAGGTGAATCACCAGAAGAATTTATTTGAGAAGTAGATGTGTAATCTGCTGTGCTTGTGCCTGCTATCCCAGCAGCCATTGCCTGGGTCATCATTTGGAGTGCAGCAGCTGTAGCAGCTGTGACTGTTGGCTGATGTGTTGTTAGCTCTCTGGTAGTATCACCAACCAATGGAGCTGGGCTCATGGATGTTGAAGTAGCACCAACAGAAAGAGATTGCTGGAATATAAACAAAACAATATGAATGAAATTGGATTTACAATTTTTTTAAAAAACAACAGAATGTTGTCATTAACTGAGACTAGAACATCTATTTTTCTGGGGAAAAAGAATTTTAAAAATTGAAAGTTAGTAATTGTCAACACAATTTTTTGCCTGCTGATAATATAAATCTTATAATGGCACCTATCTTGTTCACATCACTGGCCACAAAAATATATATAAGAGAAGTTTTATTTATTTTCAACTAAGATTATATGGCACCAATTATTTGTAGGTTAGGATCAAAACAGGTTAATAAATTAGAGATCATTTCTTATTTTATTCAAAAGAATTTTGGCACTTAACCAATATACCGTTTTCTGTTCTTTTCTGAACAGGAGAATAATTTGAAATGTCTAAAATAATTTGTTTCCAAAGATGTAGTTTTTTAATATTTGTAGGTGTTGGCATACTTTGTGAAACCTTAATTATTTCCTTTGAATCCAAACATCATTCAATTATCTATTTTTTTCAACAGTAGCTATTGAATGTGGTTTTGCAATATGTTATTTAATTTGGGAGAGAACTCACTGTACAAATACCTCATTATTACATTTCCATACAATCCAACACAAAAAAAAAAACACAAATCTTTTCATTTTGTTGTAATTCAATTTTATAAAAAAAAAAAAGTTATAAGTGCCAGTGAAGAGCAAACATATAAACAAACCAAATATGGGAATCAGACTGAAAATGTTACAGAATTTCTAATACTAACAACTAGTTAAGATTTTATATAAAGTTATCAACTGAATGAAATTGTAGCCTGTATGATTTTATGATATAGGTTGTTTGTGGGGAATTTTGATTTGATTGAGGTTTTAAGGTGAAGGATTGTTTTCTGTTTCCATATATTTCATATATTTTGAGCAGAGATTTGCACATAGAAAGGCAGTCCATTAAATTTTCTTTCAAATTTTCCTAAACATTGTAGGAATTCACATATCTAAATTTTTAAATGACTTACAAGACTAGTGAGAGGTGGAGTATTTCTCTGATGTCTTGTATCATGTGATCGGGATTATTTTTAATCAGCATTTTTGTCTTATTGTCAACCATTGCAGCCTTACTGAGAAGTCACATTTTTTTCAGATTCAGACATAGATTACACAGATGTGCTGAAATGTCATCTTTCAGAATATGTATATATATGTCATAAATTTAAGTCATGTGTGAAACAAAATCACATGTTCAAACAGCAGCTGCTGAAAACTGTTATGAATTTTTGTTCCTACCCCGAAACAGCAAAGAAAAAGGTTTTAATAATATTTTGTCAAACCTCACTTTTCAAGAAAATATATTTTAAAATCCATTTAAAAACTATTTGGAGTAAATTGGAAGGTGAAACTAGTCAGCTAAAATAGAAATTTTTTTAAAATTCTTCGTCTTAAATTACAAATTAATTTTCAGATGATTTTGTGGTTTTTGGAGCTTTAAAAATATTTGTTCTTTACATATTTGTTTTTTACAAATTCCTATTTACCTCAGATATAACTATGTTCAGGTATTTAAATATTTAAGCATTTAAATAGGTTCAATGATTTTCCAAGATGCATTTGTATAATTTTATCAGCAAAAACCTATTCTTATAATATATTGTGGCATAATTCAAAGGAACATGTCTTTCAGAAGACAAATATTTTAATAAGCGCTGCAGTAATGGTTAAATATTAAACAATTGTTTAATAATTTCTCTGATTCTGACAGATATTAGAAAACTAAACTATTAAGGCAATGAAAATTAATGACTTAAGAATTTCATCAAAATATGTAATATTTACCATGCTGTCTAGTAAAGATGTCTGCACAGCTGGTTGTCTTCCAGGTAACAATTGTGTATGAGTAACCTCGACAGAGAAACTAGGCAGCCAACTAACATACCTAGAGCCTGAAAGGTAAATCAAAATATTGAAATTTGAAAAAGATCATGCAATAAGGTGCACAGAAAATAAAAAAAAACCCCCAAAAAACGTAAATATAAAGCAAACTGTCTAGAGAAAAAATTAATCTATAAAGCATTATTGTTATTTGATAACCATTTTTTTGTAAAAGACATTGATTTGATTATACATGAATACAAAGTTCTGAAACACTTTATGAAGATATTGGTTATCTTAATTTCATGATTGTTGAAATTATTGTTTTAAAGTTAAAGAGTTGCAAAAATAAAATCTTATAATGTTGTACATGGTTAGCAAGACATTTTGTTAGTTCACAGTTGGCATTATCATAACTTGGCTGAAGAGAAATTTGGAAAAAAAAAAAAAAAAAAAAATTTATGGCATTTTTTTCTTCAAACACTTAAGGAATATTTTCATAGGTTGAAAATTTGATTTTTTTCTGATTATAAAGTAACAATATTCACCAATTTGATATCAGGAATAAAACTTCCGATTTGTCTTTAATTCACTGCTGTCATCAACAGCAAGGAAAAATTGAATATCAGTAAAACAGTAACTACATTGAAAATTAATAGTATCCATGATTTACCATCAAAATGGAAGAAATGGTTTGTTGTCTGTTGATTAGCAGCTCCAGGTGAAGGCATGTTATCTGGGGTTCCTTCAGCTTCAGGAAGGTTGCCATTAGCATCCCCACTTGGTCTCTCATTTAACATAGTTCGACATGTTGGACAGGATGTATCTTGTTCAAGCCAGGATCTTAAACAAGAACTGAACAGAAAAAAAATTACTTGTTAATCAGGGAATTTTTCTTGTGAATAACATTCTTTTAACAGACTGACATGGTTTTGGAAAAAGATTATTTTTATTTTACTAACATTGATCCATCAAAGAAAGATCAAAATCAATTAAATACCAGTTAGGTTTTAAAAGCACCAGTTGTCAATTTAAAAAAAGAAAGAAAAATAATACCTACATCTATGCAATGTTTAACGATAACATAAAAAAAAAAAAAAAAAAAAAAAAAAATCAGTGACACTAATTTTTGGTATGTATTCGTAACAAGCCTGTTAACTTACTGATGGAAAAAATGTCCACATGGGAGCTTTCGTGCATTTTCCATTTTCTCCCAACAAATTGCACAATCATCATGGCAATTTTCAAGGTCACTGGCAGTTGCCATTGGAAATCTATAAGTAGAAAAAATACTTAAAAGACCAAAACATACATTTTTTTTCCAGAGAAGATTGAGAATGATAGAAAAACAAAAAACATAATAGAGTAGATAATACCTGGCTTCCATATTTCGTACAACTCTAATATAGTTCTTATGTCGCTTAACTCTTCTTTGGAATTCATGGAACAAATAACGCAATTGCATGAAGATCACCAAACTTGCCATGCTTAGGAAAATGTTACCATACAGCTGAAATGAAGGAAAATAATGACAATATCACGTGAAAAATCAATGAAAATACAATTAGCATATATTTTGTCATAAAATATATAAAAGTGTAAACAGTTCATACAGTGTAAAAAGAGTATTATTAAAAAAGACAAAACATTTTCAGCATATTTGAGATTGCATATTATTATACCTGATCGCAATTTTTTTGTTTTGTTTTTCAAAATAATGTATTAAAATCTTCATAAAAATTGCTTTTGTTTAAATTATATATTGTTGACACTACAGCAAAGAAAAGTTCTCAGCCTGACCCACTTCCCAAAAATTGTCATTTTTATGACAAACACTAGAATACTGATTTTGGAAAGTGGATTAAGTTAATATTAACACAAAATAGTTTTTTGATCATTGACTTCTAAGACAATATTTCATTACTTCCTGAAAAACTTTAGGAAATGCAAGAGATGCACGAAAACACTAACTTCTATTTTGATATGCTCTCTACAAATGTCTTACAACAAATTGAACTCAGATTTTCCTCTCTCATGTACACGCAATTTGTAACAGCTTGTTCACTTTTAAATTCTTATTCCTGCTTTTATTATTCATGACAACTGAGAATTCAACCAAATTCCTAATATGAACATACACATTTATTGCATACACATAATTGCACTATAAAACTTTGGTGCCCATTGACCAGTATATTTTGGTTGCATCATTTGTGTAACTTTATTGAAGCAATATTTATTGCTTCAGAATGACAACATAATTATGCTTGTATATATATTTTTTCAAAATCAAAGTTTCATTTACAGAATATTTCTAAGAGGTTTACTTAAAAAAGAAATTGAAAAATCTTACCAACATGTGTAAATGATGAGCAAATTCTACAATAAGAGCAGACAACTGGAATAGCAGCTCAGAATAATAAACATAAAGTGAACGTTTTTCCCAGATACCATCCATATTCAGATCCCAAAGATGAATAGCATAACTGTAAAATCAATAAGAACATTTTAATACAAGTCCTTTCAATAATTGCATTTTTCAATTTATGGAAATTAAAGTTAAAAAAATAAAAAAATAAAAGATGAAATCTAAAACTAAATTAATTATATTTTTATCTGTAAATAGTAATTTGATTATTAACTGAATAAGAAAATTACCAATGCATGTTTCTAACTACCTTTTCAAATATTTGATTTAAAAAAATTCAATATTTTTTGATGAAATATTTTCCTTAAGCAGATAAAATTTTGATAACATTTTTTACTGTAAAAAAAAAAAAAATTGTTTTGTCTAATAACAGAAGTTTTAAATAGTCATATAAAAAAAAGCTAATGGTATGAAAGATTGCTAGGACAACTGCTTTCTACTCATACCATGCTTCCTATTTATCATTGTCAGAAAGTATAGGTTGAGGAGTATGGACAAAAATAATGTAATCTTTCTTTAAATGTGTTACATTAAGAAAATCTATCAAATCTAAGAAAAATGGCTTACCGTGTCATCACATGCAATATTTTTATTCCCAAGATCAGGCACTGTAAAATGAATAAAGGCAAAAAAAATTTTAGTTCTAATATTAGGAATTTTCCTGGTGAGCTTTTGTAAGAATTTATGTTCTGATAACAGTAAAATTATGTCTATATAAATAGATATTTTGAAGAAAAGAGATTCTTAAAATTTTTAACCTCTAATTTAATAGAAGTTTCTAGATAACAAAGACTGAAGTAATATTATTGTCTCATTTGACAAGGGTCATTAATATTCCAAGAACCTTTTCTTTTTCACGTACTTGATATTATTAACATTAACAAAGAAAAGGAAATTTCCTTTATAAAAGAAAGATAAGTCTTAAATGGTAGCAGAAAAATATTCACTAACTGGAGAAAACAGAAGAGTCTTCAGCACCACCAACAATGTAACTACAACAAACATTTCAGAAATGTAGCAGAACAGATGTTACATCATCAGCTTACTGTTCAATAATAAAGACACTGATCACTTAAAGGACAAAAGATTTAATTTATTACAACATCTTATGAAAATCTATGAAAGAATATAAGGAGGGGACCAGCCATTCTCTTAAAGTCAAAGCTTGAAGAACTGAAGAAAGTCATAACCAAAAGTGAGGTGGAAACATTTGGTATGATATATCTGGAAGAAGGATACACTACCATCTGATTGTTAGGGAGCAAGAAAATTGACAAAGGCAACATCAGTGACATGCAGAGGTTTGATGATGTCCCAGGACAACTCCATGATTGTATGCCCCCCCCCCCAGACTCTGTGTGTGTGGGTGTGGGGGGGGCTATAGGTCACCTAGTACTGAGAAATGTGAGAAAGGAAGACATTTTAAATCTGTAAAAACAGATGAAACATAAAATAGACACTTTATTCAAATTAAATATAAACTAAATTTTCATTTCACTCTTTGATTGGAAGCCCTCTTGATATGGGTGCCTGGGGCTGTCACACCCTCTGCCCTCCATTCTAGCCAGATGCATAAATCTGGTTAATAAGTTGGTTGGTTGTTTTTGTTTAGTTACATATCAATTGTTATGGGTCATTTTATGCTGAAATCTAAATATTTTGTACACAATTTTATTTTATTTGTTTTTGAGATAATAATTGTTTAGTGGTAAAAATCTTACTAATTAACCCATAGCTAGGGGAGAAAAGATGGATTCATACATTTCCCAAGGCTATTTGCATATAACTGAATATAATGAAGCCAACTAGAATTGGAACTCAGCTCTGCAATTAAAAATTCTGGGCCATTAACCATTACACCCCACCTGTACATCCAAGCTTACAGCACCTGATATTCCCAAGTGGTCAACCATCTAGGTACTGACCCTGATTAGTAAGGATTTCAAGACCACTTTCTTTTTTTCTTTTCTTATAATTTAAATTTTATTTTAGCAAATCAGTTTTTAGGGAACCATCTTTATCCTGGATAATTGGATATTGATTATAGTGTACCTAGCACTGCTGTAACAGATTAATCCAATGACCACTTTTCTGATACTATTTGAAAATTTTTCCCTTGAATAAGTGTGGTTTCTTTTAGTTCTTATGGAATTATAATTGAAAGTTGAAGAATGGATCAACCTGTGTGAATAATATCAAGTAGACAAAGAGTGATTTGTCTGAATAATACTTGCAATTTTCAAATTCACAATTCTGAAGCTAATAGTTAATCTCTTAATTTTTTTCTATAGTCAGTTGTTGAAAATGTGTTTTGACAGGATTAGTGTAGTCACAAAGCATGTTAGCTAATATCACGGTGCACGGAATTAAGAATTCATAATTAAAATGACTAGAATCTAGTTTAGATAAAATTACGTACCAGATTACTTTGCAACCAACTTAGTCAGTAATTGTTTACTATTTTGTCGAAGAATTTCCACTTCATTTGATTGCTATATAAATTTCTAAGTCAATTGTTCAGTGAATTGAGAAACTTTATTCAAAATAACATAAAATTTAACTTTACAATATCAGTTAGTCTATGAATATAAAATTTATTTGTTCTTCTTTAGCACAATGTCAAGAACTCCATTATTTTTACAGATCACATGATGCAAGGTTTACAGTGTGTAAAAACAATGATTCACTTGTTATTACAAAATTGCTTGTCTTATAATTATTTTAATACTCAATAATTTTGTGAGCGAAATAAAGGGTTCAGTTAGACATTCCAACCACCTGAAGAAGATCGGAGTGTACAACGGCCGAAACATAATAAATATGGCGACAAAGATGAGGACAATAGTCCGAATAATGTAAATAGTGTAAATCATAAATTATTTTCTAGTCACTAAGTTTTAAAGAATATAGTTTATAGGCATAAATGTAGATTACAATGTTCAACAATTACCATGGATTATTAAAGTTGTGCTAATCTAAATATTCTGAATAAGTTAATATTTTCCAGTGATATTTTGTCCTATAAACTCATGAACTGTAATGATCATGAAAATATAAATATAGTTAAGTAAATCAGGCTGTTTTGCAAATGTCATTCATTCATATTCATTGTCAGTTATTGATTAAAAACAATTAAGATATTTATATTAAAAAATGTGAAGGGAATTTAATCTGGCTAACTTTACTATGAAGTTTTGAGACTTAAACATTCTATTTTTAGTAAAATTAATCTGTAATTTGGATAAAAGATGGATAACTGCTTGGCAAAAGACAGTAAAAAAGTGAAAGTGAATCTCATCATCTGTCAATAGATATAATATATACAGCACAGCAATATTAAATACAAAAACTGCTATATTTTGTACACATTTATAATGTATCAAATTTCAATCAGGAAAAATACTTTATTCTTAATGGAACAAATAATCTTAACAGCTGTAAGAGTTTTACAACATTTCTGTGAATAGTTTAGGAGTTATTGTTTAATTATTTTGGACTTTTTTAACAAATAAAAAGTAAAAGATGTATCTTTTTTTCCTGCATTGAAGACCATCTTAAAAAAACAAAAAAAAAACAAAACAAAGACCCACACCTCATATTCACAAATTTGATATAGCTGAATAACAGAAGAAATATTTACAAGCCATTTCATGTCAATTGAAGGAAATTAAAATTAGTAAAACACTTTGAGAGCCATAATCAGATTTAATGGGCATTTATAATATACTCAATTTAAACTTGAAATAAAAATAGTTATTGCTTATTCTAAGAAAAAATGCATTTCCCATATATTTATGACATATTTAAAAAACCACATTCTTTACAAATCAGAAACAAGAATTTAGCTAAAGCAGGCTTCGATAAAACATGTTATTAAAGAAATTAGAATTATACAGAAATACATAATTTTCTTGGTTCCCAAAATGAACTCATTAGCAATTCTTTGCAAGGTTAACATTGTTGTTCAGCAATGTTTATTGTAATTGAGTTTTACTGAAAACAATTGAGCAACTAAAATATTAAACAGCATATATCATTTTCTACAAATTGAAATATAAAATGTGAAAATTTCTTAAAACTTACTTCTGCTGCCATAAATGCAAAGATAGTAAGGCCAGCCTGCATTGCAACAATCCCAGAGACAACCAAAAGAGCCATGCAAGATAAAAGAATGACACAAAGCAAGGAGAGAAGTTTTATGTGGACCCAGTGGGCTGTGGCTGGAGAGAAAGAAAGCTGAAAAAGAGATAGACACACTGTAATATAACCAAGCAAGCATATCATTCAAATAATGACTAACATCATTAACTTTTTAGCATTTTAGTGAGAAAAAGAAAAATGTTTCCAAACAATTCTAATATTGTTTAATATCAGAGTTCAGGAGTTAAGGAAATTGCCATTTTTCTATAATAGCTGTAAATAAATTGAGCAAAAATCCTGTGGATAATAGATTTTGAAATATGCAAAAATTATTTATTTAAAGGATTTTCACAGTTTGCTAAATTTGACTTACAATGCACAAAAATCCCCTTTAACACTGCTTTTCAATGACAATTTAAAAATCAATTTACCCATAGTAGATTTTTTAAATTCAAAAATTTTACACAAAATATTGATAGAGACTTAAAAAAACATTTATCCATTTTATTTATTTTATAAAAAACATTCTAAATAAAAATATTTTTAATCTCAATTCATTTTTCAATTCAAAGCAAAAATATTTTTAATTAAAAAAAAAAATTAAATAAAAAGATGAGATGCTTAAAAATAGTGTTTTATAGTTTAAAAAACAGATTAAAAAATGTATAATTATTTTTGAATTCATTATTAAATTAACAATTTTTGCAATTTCCTAATTTTTTTTTTACTAATTTTTGCAATTTACAAATTTTTTTTTTACTAATTTTTGCAATTTACAAATTTTTTTTTACTAATTTTTGCAATTTACTAATTTTTTTTTTACTAATTTTTGCAATTTACTAATTGTAGTCTATCTGATATACAGGGACAATAAAAAACAACTCTTTTTCTTTCTTTCCTCTTCTTTCTTTTTCTGTCCATTCATTTGTCAATACCTGTTTGCAAAGGAAAAGAAAACTCCTTGCCCATCATTCTTTCTAGCTTTTATGCAACCGCCACTCATCCATAATGCATTGGTATTTCCCTATATAAGTGTTACTTCTACCTTTCTAGCTTTTTGCTTCTGGCATCGGTAAGTTTTCACTTCTTTTTTCTCATCTTTTTAACACATCATCCTCATACCATAGTCACATTCCCAACAAGGTGGTTGTGCCTATCTTCCTGACCTACATGCTAGATCATCTGTATTATCACCTTGCCTTGCAGTACTATTACCATTATCCAGTGAGTCATTCCCTTGTCATACATCCAGGATGTGCCAAGGGGTTCCATCTACAGAAACATTATTCTTTGACTGTACTCCAGTCACCAATCCATGCACCCATCAGGTAACTGTATCTTTACCTCCTTTCCAACTTGAATTGAACCAGGTCACCTTGCTGCTGCTTCATTTTCAGGAATGACCAGTGGATGTCTCCACTCATACTGAAATATTGTGTGGTACAGAATCCTCCTCTTGGCCTACCTGAAGGCATGTGTTATGCCAACAGAACACCTCAATTGATGATATTTGACCCCTCTCGGCTATTGCCTTCATAGTTTTGTGGTGCCTCTCTACAATGCCGTTTCCATGAGGTCTGTATGCAGCCCTGTAATGCTTGCACATTCTACCTATCCAGTACTGCCTTGACTTTGTATTGTTGGTTGGTTAACTGCCATCAGTGGCAATATTCCACTTTGGACTTTCTCCTTTCAAGATACTAGGATGCCTTCTTCAACCCATCTGTCCACCTCCTTTTCAAACTTCATTCTCTTCTTGTATGGAATTCTCATATAAGCTCACCCTGTTCTTTAATATTGACGGTCCATTTAAATATAAGCAGACAACGAGAATAAAAAGTGCAGTAATTGTGAAATTGAGTTACTTACATATTCAAACCGATCTTTACAAAGTTGCGTATGGAGGTTAAAAAATCCCAGTAGAGTGAACCATGCCACCCAATAAATAACTTCATCCATAGTCTGAACATTCATCACTCCAAAAATGAAGATAAATTTATAGAAAACAAAATTCCAAAAATTGTCCTTCAGATTCTGTAAGAAAAGAATTATAAAAATTTAAAAAAAATTAAATGTGACAGACAGTGGATAATTTTTGTCTTTCTAAAAAAAATATTCCTGGGATCATCAGAGCCAAACAATTGTTTCTGCAGAGAAAATACAATTTATAAAATGAGGCACAGCTGTTTTATTCATTGATTTTATGCCATTTCAATTTATAGTCTGGATTATTAATGTAATATGCATCTAATTCAGTTTCTTAATGGTGTTTTCCTTGGCAGGTATTTTAAGACAGGTCATCTTATTCAAATGTAATTTAAGAATGATTTTTGATTAATACAAGCATATTAATCAGAATTCATACAAATATCAAGTTTAACAACTCTTAAACATTATTTCACTAAATTTCTCATACAAATAATCATTATTTTGAATTCAATGTGTCACATCTTTTTCTTTCTTACCTTATTAAATATGCCATTGGAGATTTTTATGATGACTGATAAATTGATATCAATCTTTTTGTACTTATTTAAAGAAATACATTTTCTGAGGATGGCTATCATTATGAAAATTAAGGATAAACTAAGTTCTTCATCTTGAAACAGATTTTGTGATAATGTTTATTTTTTTTATCTATCTCTCTGAGATGAGGCATTATGATTACTTGCATTATTTACATTATTCAGACTGTTATCCTCATCTTCATCGCCATATTCATGTTTTGGCCGTTGTATGCTCTGGCCTTCTTCAGGTGATTGAAATTTTGAAGTGAACCCTTTATTGTGATTGTTCTATTGGATGAGATTGAAGTAATAAACAGAGAGCATCACTGGAAAATATGAAAACTTAAGGAATCAGCACATATGCTAGGCCACAAAAATCTTCTGAGCTGACCAAGCATAGAAATGAATACAATATGGGAACCAGTAATAAGGAGTGCTAGAGAAAAGCAATGAATAACAACAAAAATTGCAATATAAGCTCTGGTAAAAATGCAAAATAATAATAGAAAAAATTGCAATATGAGAACTGGTAAAAAAAAAAAAAAGTTTAAAAATTCCAAAAATTCATATACACAGATATCCTCAAGGACACATGGCCCAGTGCATAAAGACATTGGTTAGATCCAGTGACTAGATCCAAAGAGTTGTGAGCTCAATACCAGGGCACAGCAGTAGTGAACCAAAAACTTGCAGAGTTGAATTAAAGGGAAATAACTGAAAATAACTCCGGAAGAGACAAGACATGTGGAATTAGAACAATCAGTTGTTAGGTTCAAAATTTTGATCACCTGAAGAAGGCCTGAGCATACAATGGCTGAAACATTGGAATATGGCAATGAAGATGAGGATAACAGTCTGATTAATGTAAATGATAAAAGTTCTTTTTTTTTCATATATGCACACATGTAACATTTGAAAAACTTTATCTTCCTTTTTGATTTTAAAAAAGTAATAATTTAAAAAAATTAAAAGTGATAATTTTAATTTTAAAAAAAGTGAGCTGACATAAAACCTTGTTAAAAAATTAAAGAGAAAATTCAGTAGCAATTATAGTTTAAGTATATTTCATAAGCAATACAATAATTGATAAGAAGGTTAAAAGACTAAAGCAGATGCCTTCTATCTGGATATAAAGTGGTTGGCCTCTTTGCAACTAATTATCTATTACAAATCCTGGAGTTTTATTTATATTCGAATGCATTATATCACATATGTAACTATTGTATACTATTGTATTGTTAATAGAATTCAATTTGAAAGCATTTAGTATTTGTAGCCAACAGTATTCATATGATGTAGAAAAATTAAATTGAAACAAAACTTTTAAGCTTTTCTAATATCCTAATTATTTCATATATAATGCTCAGTGGATTCATAGAATGAAAAAAGTAAATAATATAAACAATCTTGCATGTATATCAAAGTGTCCATGTTTCTCAATGATAAATTATAACTGATGTTTGTTGCATTTCATCTTCCTACATATGATTCCATCAATAAAAACGGGAACTTTTCCATTTTGTCATTCAACCCATCAACTGTGCTGAAAAGCTTCTGCCCACTATGTGTATTCTATAATAGAATATGTACATCGATAATTGTTTCTCCTTACACATACTTTTTTGACACTATTTGCTATAATACAAGTGTAATCAGAGCAATAACTTTTTTCTATAAACAACAATAATAATTTTATACACACTGTATATATATATATATATATATATATATATATATTTGTGATGTCAACAAATACTCGGCACTTTCGTAAAGCTTGCTGTAGTAGAGGCTTTTGTAAATGCAGATACAACTATAGTATACTGTTGAACAATGCTGGTGTCAGATGCCTTCAAATAATCTTGCACTAATAGTACTTGCTCGATGATACTCACTCGAATAGTATAGTGATCCAAATAGAGAAATAGTATAGTGAATAGTATAGAGAATAGTGTCCATATAATAGAGTAGAATTAGATGCCAAGCTACTTTCTACTTATGCATTTCCACTATGGTCATGTGGTCCACTTAATTCAATAATAGGATCACCTGTGTTTGCTCACTGGCAATCTATGTTCAAACTCAAGTGTCGGCAGTGACACTTTATTCATATATAAAACCTCTCCTTTGAGATGACTTCCTCTGCAGTCTATATTTCTTCAGCTTCAGTTCAATATTCAAATGTTCTGTTGCTGTTCTTTTTCTTTTACTGTACCTCCTTGATTCACTAATTTCTGGTGTCGAACATGTCACACAATATTTCCAGGCGACATTCCAGACACGGTGTTTTTGGGTTTGGTGTTATTCTGTAAACACTCAATATTGTTGAATCATTGCTTCATCTGACTCCTCTCAGACTTTTTTTTGGTGTCCTTTTTTAATATCAATAAACCATTCCACTTGTCTGTTTGATCTTGGCTGATAAGGAGGAGTTGTAATATGTTATATTGCTAATGATTTGCAAAAAAAAAACTTAAATTCACTAAACATGAATTGAATCTTGTTATCTGAAACAAAAGAGTCAGGAACACTGAACCTTGCAAAAAATCTTGTGTAGGAAATTTATCATTACCATAGCAGTCTTCTACATTTTAATTTTTTTGGGTCATTTATGTAACTATCGACTACTAGATAGTATGCTCTGTCTAATGATCTTGTGAAGTCTATATGTATTCTGGACCATGGCATATCGGTTTTTGCCAAGGTTAAATTTTTGATAAGCAGTGACTTACTGCCAGAGCACAACCTCTGCATGATTTCACTAAATTTTCAATATCTTGATCCATTTTTGGCCAATAAGTATAACACCTCATTAAGGATTTCATTCTTGGATGTCCTATGTGAAAATTTTTTAGCATACATTTTTGCAATGATTGCTGTATCACAATTCTTTCTGTGTACATATGTACATTATTACATAATGAAAATGATTCTTTCCAATATTTTTTTTTCTTTAGATCTTAATTTTCCTTCATTTTTATTATAAAGTCATCTTTTTCCGATTTAATTTTTTATTTCCTCTAATGTTACAGTATTGTATAATACATTATTAATTTCATTTTTTATGCCCTTATTGCTGCAATTACTGTGTCTTCAAGTGGTTTGCAGAATTTTTGTATTAGTTTAGATAATCTGTTTGCATGACTTAATTTTTTGGATGGTAGAAACTCCATTTTATATTCAATTCAGGATAATTCCCCAACACTGCAGTTTATTTGCTGTGTGGGGGAACACTATCCATATATGGACAATAATGGGCGATGGTCTGTCTGTAGTATGAATTTTCTACCATGTATGAATTTGTGAAACGTTTCAAAGCAAATATGATGGCCAATGCTTCCTTTCCTAGCTGTCTGTAGCTTTTTTCAACTGCAATTAATTATTTGAAGCACCTATTGGATTTGGTCGTCTGTCATTTTCATTGATAATTTGTCCTAGATACCCAAAGTCTGGACATAAACAATTTGGTATTTTCCTTCATTGATCTTAAACCATATTCTTTAAATCTCTCAAATACTTTTTTACATCTTTTGCATGTTGCTTTGGATCTTACTTTATTAAGTCATGTCATTCAAATCATTTCTTGAGCACAATTCAAACCAGCAAGTTTGGTATTCATTATCTGTTGCTTGGTATACCTATATATTGAAATATAGTTGGTTGAATTTGTAAACCCTAAAAATGAGTGTTAATTGTTAATTATTTTGAGCAGTCTTTTATTGGTCTCATCTGACAGGTCCAATTTAAAAAAAAAATTACCCATCTTTAATTTGGCAAAAATTTCCTCTCTGACTTGGTTACAGGTAGTTATGTTGTTTTAAACTTTCATTTAACCCCATTGAAAAATTAGCACATTCGTGGTTTTTATTATTCCTTTTATTAGCATAGACTGTTGGTAATGCCCAATCCGAATAGTCTATTTTGGATATTACACCTAATTTTCTAGTCTGTCCAATTCATTATTAATTGGATCTAAGGCTACAAAAAGTACATTCCTTTTGGCTTAAATTTTGGTGTTATATTGTCTTTTAACTCAAACTTAGCTTTTGCTCTTGTGCATATCCCTAGACATTCTGAGAAAACTTCTAGAAAACTCTTTTTCAGTTCATTTTTCAATTGCCTCCATATTAGTACTGAGCGTAACAATATTTTGTTGCAAAAAGAGTTAATTAGCAAGTCCCAAAGATCAAACAATGCAATCCAGTCTGATCCTGATGAAAAGCAGAATTACATTAGAAATAGGACAAGAACAATGCAGTTTCATTGAAAACATTCAAACAAGAAATGCAATATTTATCATCAAAATGATATCAGAATGAATAATATAAATGCAGACATATACATGCCTATGTTTCATAGAATGCACAAAAGTATTTGATAAGATACAATGAAAATCTGTTAGGAAAACAGGATTTATTTAGGAAAGGTATTAAGAATAATTCAAAACATTTACTG